TGCTTGACACATAGTAGGCCCTCATTATTGTTAGTTTCTCAACATATGTCTCTCCCCTGTTCCTTTCCCTTTCCTGCTGGCTCTCACAAAGGCAAGGAGAATGGAAAGAAATAAAAGTTATGAAGAATGAAAGGGTAACACAGGCAGGCAGGAAGACAGAGCTGGCAGGAAAAGTCTGATAAGGAAAGCTCAGGACATTCAGAAACCAGAACAATGATGGTGTTTTGTGTACTAGTAGGTTCTGCAGCGGATATCTGTGTATTTTTTCTGTCTGCTGAATGTCCTTCCTCCCTGTTTAAGTTTTCTGTTGCTGCATAACAAATTACTCCGAAACTTAGCAGCTTAAAGCAATGTACATTGATGACCTCACAGTTCCTATGGGTCAGGAATGTGAGTGTAGCTTAGCTGGATCGTCCAGCTCAGGGTCTCTCACAGGCTGCAATCAAGGAGTCGGCCAGGGCTGCCCTCACTCAAGGTTCAGGTGGGAAACATCCACTCCCAAGCTCTGTCAGTGGTTATTGGCAGGACTCAGGTCCTTGTGGGCTATTGGATTGAGGGTCTTAGTTCCTTACTGGCTATTGGCCAGAGGTGGTCCTCAGTTTCTTGCCACATGAGCCTTTCCATAGGGCAGCTTATAACATGGGAGCTGGCTTCATCCGAGTGAGCAAGGGAAAAAGGGGGAATCACAGACTTCAGTAAAATAATGTCAGAAGGAATATCCCATCACATTTGCCATATTCTATTCATTAGAAGTGAATCGCTAGGTCAAGCTCACACTCAAGGGGAGGGGATTACATGAAGGCCTAGACATCAGGAAGTGGTGATCTCTGGGAACCTAGAAGGCTGATTACCTCACTGCCCTTCTGGTGAGAGCAACCCTCCTCCCTCTATAAAGGCACACATGATTCTGGTAAGATCACTCTCCATAATACCTGCCATCCCCACCCCACCCCACACTGGGATAACATGAGACCCAGGTCATCAATCATCACCACACATCCAGTTGGCCACAGTGATTGGTCCAAGAAGTAGCCATGTGACCCAAGCTGGGCCAATCAGAGTCTTTCCCTGGGATTTATATATACTGAAACAAGGAGACAGAAGTTCTCTCTTTCATCTGAAATCACTAACATGGAATGATGTAGCCTGGCCATATCCTCTACCAACCATAAAAAAAGAACTCCAGTTGTACCAGGAACAATTAAAGACATCACATTTTGAAGCAGAGACAAAAGATCTGAGATTTAAAAGAGAGCACAAATAAACTAATGACATTTGTTTTTCACCCTTGAAGCTAGTTCCACCCCTGAAAGCTAATGTAACTCCCTTTTTCACTTGAGATAGTTTAAATTGGGTTATGTCTCCTGAAGCAAAAAGAAACTTTGTTAATTCAGCCTCAGTTTTTGCATCTGTAAAATCAAGGATCTAAACCAAATGATCTCCATGGCTTTTTCCACGTTTCAAATTCTAAGATTTGGACTTGAACCGTCTGATCATTTATCAAGAAATAGATTCTTCAGAAATGGGGAAAGAGTAGAAGGAGCAGCCTGAAGGAAGAGGAGTGCATAAGGGGGTCAGGGGCACTTCTATGACCTATGGAATCCAAAGACCAAGTCTTCCTTCTTCATAATTTAGCAAGGCTCCAAGTTTTAACTCAGAACCTTAAGAATGCCTTAGTGATCTAGGGTAAGACTCAGACATTTGCTTCTTTCACATGCTGCTGGAGCCATGAAAATACTGTCTCAGGGACATGGGCTTTAAAGGCAGTAGCCCTGGGCTTAATAATTCTAATAATAAAATAATAATATCTAATGATTACTGAGTGTGTACTACACACATGGCAATATCTTACATCCCAGCTTCTTGACTTACTAGGTATGTGACCTTAGGCAAGTGACTTACCCTCCAGAAGCCTCTGCTTCTTCATCTGTAAAGTGGGGGTAATAATAGTTCCTTCTCACAGGGCTGTTGTGAGCACTCCTATGAGTCAATGGAGGTAAAACACCAAGCACAGTGCCTGGCATGTGCTATTCTTCTTCAAACGTTCTTCTTTGCCTTTTACACCCAGCTTAAATATCCTCCATTCCACAAACTGTCCCCAGTTGCCCTCCACCTCCTCTGTGCTCCCACAGCAATTTACTTCTGCCTGCTTTTCTAGCCCTATGGCCCTGCAATATATTCACCTATTCACCTAGTTATCACTCCTGGCCGAGCATACCTTATTTATCTTTGGGTTCCTGAGGTCTAGATCCATGCCAAACACACAGTAGGATCTCAACAGATCCAAATGGGTTGATAAGCACAATATATATCAGCCTCTCAAGCAAAGGAGCAGACAGTCTGATTGGAAGCAGGACACACCCAACCAGAACACTGCCTCGTTGGGCATTTAGGATTTTTGTCAGGCGAAATTCTGATGTGTGTCTGTAAAACTACTCCTCCAATGAAACCACAATTTCTCAAGTGAAAAGTAGTCATTCCTCACAACTGGCAGGAGAACCCGTCAGTAGCCAGTGTGGAGCCCAGTGTTAACGGGTGTGGTGCAGCTGGTTTGGAAGCCTACCAAAGAGACAGCAAGTAAACACGACGGTTGCCTGGGTGCACAAACACCAAACCAGCTTCTCATCACCTCATCCCTGAGACAGTCCAGTCACAGCATCTGTGACACCCACAAGTGGTTACTTGTCAGCTCCTGTCAAGTGCAGCAGCAAGGGCCAACCACCCCCAAAATGCAGATCTTAAGGACAAAAACACAATAACAGCAGTTTTTATAGGAAGCTAAGCAGTGTGTGTGTGTGCTTGTGTGCGAGGGTTCAGAAAAAGTGGTCATTTTCTAAGGTGAGTATAAGACAAGGGACTGTGTTAAAAAAGGAAATATTTCTCCCCTTCTAAGACCACATTCTTCTCTCTAGCTAGAGGCTAGGCAGGGCTAGAAGGGAAAATTGGTTAGAATTTTGCACCCACCCAACTAACTACAGAAAGACACCCTGGGGGACAGACTGCTAGGCTACATGGAGCTGACCACATGGCACTTCATTGCTCACTCATGTGGGTCTCAGGGAAGCAGTGTGAAGTGCTTTTGGAATCTATAAGGAGAGTGAGGAAGGAAATTGGAAGCATGCCTGGCTGGGGTGGCATGAATAGAGGAATAAAAGATTTTAAATACAATTTTATCCCCTTGTGTGGATTGGAATTCAACTACAGGGCATGGTAGAGCTTACAGGATTACGGTGGGTGGTCTCCCCCATGACAGGAATTCAGTAAAACTCTCTTACCCCCAATTCCTCTTCCCCATCTCTTTGTTTCTATTCATTCACTCATTCATTTATCTATACCCTGCCTGGTTCCCAAAAGCAATGCAGCCTCATATTCTACAGGCCCTGGGGAGCTACCAATGGTTTTTAAGCATGGGAGCTCCATGATCAAATATGACTTTTAGAGCATCTAGAATCAGTGATGAGGATGGAATTAGAGAAGACAGAGGCCAGCAGCCATCCAGATGTGTACTAACTAGTGGCTGTGGAGGAGAGAGGATAGAGATTATTTGAGAGGATAATCAGGATTTCTTGGCTGGGCCAGAATGTGGTTGGTGGAGAAAGAGCAAAAAATAACTAGAAATTTTCTTCTTTAGGTGATTTTGTGAATGATGACACTACCAAAGAAGATTGACAACACAGAGGAGGAGAATTTTGGAGAAGGGGAGATAAAAAGCACGAGGAACCACTTTAGTGAAAGATGCCATATAATGATATGTCCTGTTACCAGTGCAAGGGACAGATAATGTTGCTAACGAGGGTCATTTTTTGCTCCAGTGATCTGTTGTGGGTTGACCTCCAGCTGCATCATGTGAGGTTGCTCTGGTCCACATCTACAGCTGGTCTTAGATGCTGATCGTGCCCCATGGTATGATCACTATGGTCACTACAGGAACTTTGAGAGTGTAGGAATGGGGCAGTACAAGCCTAAGCCCACCCCTTAGAGACCACCCAGAAGACCTCTTTTACTGATAGTGGTCCCGGCGTGTACCACTTCCACATCTAAATATCTAGAGGTTGGGCAGACATCCACTGGTAGTGGAAAACTGAGTACACCAGGGTAGGTAATCTGACTGTTGTGATCATCCTCAGGCCCTGCCTTGAGTCTCTGCTCAAATCTGACCTCCTAGCCTGAAGGATGGAGGGGGAAGAGGAATCCTTTCCAAGCAGCCTAGTCTTCTCTCTTTTCCCCCCAAACACCTTCTGCCCATCTCAGAGCCTCTGCTCCTCCTTCCTTGTCCCCAGAAAGCCTTCCTTTTCCATACTGGGCAAGTCTATTAGCCGGGCAGCTTCCTGAGTGGGAGAGTTGTTATCTGTTGGAGCAGTCTACCTCTGGACTTGGTAGGCTGTCTGTCTCTGTTTGCTGCACACATAGAAAGCTTTCGTTCAGCTTGGAAGTTTTTTTGTTTTGTATTGCTTATTTATTCTCACTTTGTTTTAAATAAAAGTTTGAGGGCTTCCCTGGTGGCGCAGTGGTTAAGAACCTGCCTGCCATTGCAGGGGACACGGATTCGAGCCCTGATCTAGGAAGATCCCACATGCCGCAGAGCGACTAAGCCCATGCGCCGCAACTACTGAGCCTGTGCTCTAGAGCCCGCGAGCCACAACTACTGAGCCCACACATGCCACAACTACTGAAGCCCGTGCGCCTAGAGCCTGTGCTCCACAACAAGAGAAGCCACCGCAATGGGAAGCATGCGCACGCAAGGAAGAATAGCCCCCGCTCGCCGCAACTAGAGAAAGCCGGTGCACAGCAACGAAGACCCAATGCAGCCAAAAATAAAATAAATTAAAGGGAGACCAGGCTAGGCGCGAGGACCTCGCGAGCTCCTCCACGTGGGCTCCCCTCCCCCCTGCGGTGACCCCCGCTCCCACCGACTGGCCCCGAAACGGTGGCGGCGGTTTGTGGTCGTTGGTCCCAGGCATTTAGGACAAACATTTGAAGACCCGAGGGGAACTGCAACCATGAATGAAGAAAATACAGATGGAACAAGTGGATGCAGTAAAGTCCGAACTGGTACTCAGAATGAAGCAGCATTACTTGCTTTGATGGAAAAGACTGGATACAACATGGTTCAAGAAAATGGGCAAAGGAAGTTTGCTGGTCCGCCTCCAGGTTGGGAAGGTCCACCTCCACCTAGAGGCTGTGAAGTTTTTGTAGGAAAAACACCTCGTGATATGTATGAAGATGAATTAGTTCCTGTATTTGAAAGAGCTGGGAAGATATATGAATTTCGACTTACGATGGAATTTAGTGGTGAAAATCGAGGTTATGCTTTTGTGATGTGTACTACAAAAGAAGAAGCCCAGTTAGCCATCAGAATTCTTAATAATTATGAGATTCGACCAGGGAAGTTTATCGGTGTGTGTGTAAGCTTGGATAATTGCAGATTATTTATTGGAGTTATTCTGAAGGAAAAGAAGAAGGAAGAAATCTTGGATGAAATGAAGAAAGTTACAGAAGGAGTTGTAGATGTCATTGTTTACCCAAGCGCAACTGATAAGACCAAAAATCGCAGTTTTGCGTTTGTTGAGTATGAATCTCACAGAGCTACTGCTATGGCTAGGAGAAAACTAATTCCAGGAACCTTCAAACTGTAGGGCCATACCATTCAGGTAGATTGGACTGACCCAGAGAAAAAGGTTGATGAGGAAACCACGCAGAGAGTTAAAGTTCTCTATGTATGAAATGTAATGATCTCAACTACAGAGGAAACAATTAAAGCAGAATTCAATAAATTCAAACCTGGTGCAGTTGAATGAGTAAAGAAACTTAGAGATTATGCCTTTGTTCACTTTTTCAACCGAGAAGATGCAGTGGCTGCTATGTCTGTTATGAATGGAAAATGCATTGATGGAGCAAGTATTGAGGTAACACTGGGAAAACCTGTAAATAAAGAAAACACTTGGAGACAGCATCTTAATGGTCAGATTAGACCCAATTCAGAAAACCTGATTGTGTTTGCTAACAAAGAAGAGAGCCACCCAAAAACTCTAGGCATGGCACCAACTCTTCCAGCTTGTCTCAATGGCCAGCATGGCCCAAGCCTCCCTGAAATTGAAAGATGCGCTTATCCATTTTTTCCTGGAACAAATCTTACTCCAATTAGTATGTATTCTTTAAAATCCAATCATTTCAATTCTGAAGTAATACATTTGGATTATTACTGCAACAAAAATAATTGGGCACCACCAGAGTATTATTTATATTCAACAACAAGTCAAGATGGGAAAGTACTCTTGGCATATAAAATCGTTATTCCTGCTATTGCAAATGGATCCCAGAGTTACTTCATGCCAGACAAACTCTGTACTACGTTGGAAGATGCAAAGGAACTGGCAGCCCAGTTTACGTTACTTCATTTGGACAGGGAACAAAATCTCTTCAGCCTGGACCTATGTAGAAGAATTTGGAGAAAATAAACAGGTCCTTTCTGATGTTGCTTGAGCTTATTCTCCTGCAGTTGATCTCATTCCTGTTGGCTTAATATTAAGTCCCATGACAACACTAAGTTAACATTCATTTTTAGCCCTCATTTATAGCACCAGGAAAATATAGAAAAAACTTTTCCTGTGCATTAGATGACCTAATTTCTTCTGTTCCTAGAAACACCGTACATTTTATAAGTAATCACTTCATAGTCATTTTCACACCCTTGGCTTACACTACACCAAAGAACATAGCTGAGCTTTTGGAAAGTACAGGATTTACAAATTTGGTCTTTAGTACTCACACACATCTATAAACATTATAACTAATGAAGCAAGAAATTATTGATACGTAAAATGAATGTTTATTGTGGAACAGTAATATTTCAAATGTTGGTTTTTAAAGAAATAATTTGGTTTAATTTTTGGATTTTTCTGTACTGTAAGTTGATAATGGTTTCTTGAAGTTTATTTTATAAAGATGATTCATTTTACTGTTTTATGGTACCAGTAGGATTCTAATGTTAAATTGGTTTATTGGGTTGTATAAATGTTTACATTAGTACTTAAATAATGAAATATTCGAGAGTTTTTGCAGTCCAGGGGTAAATGTTTCTGCTGGCTTGATACCTAATACAGTTTCAAAAAAGAAGCAAATATGAATTCACTGTTTTATATCTTTTCTTCATGGATGACCCCTTAGTGTCAGTACCAAATTTAAAAGGAGCTTCATTGTGGATAGAGCAAGAGAAATCAGAGATTCCCTTTTTTGGTGATCATAAAGATACAAAACAATTAACAGATATCCAAGAATTCATTCTAGTAAGATCTCTGAAGCATTCTGTCAGTGAAAATTTACGTAATACTGACTGATGAAACTATCAGGATTTGCAATGCAGTGAATGCTGAAACAGTCTTTACCAGCAATATAAGATTATCAGGATTTTGAATGTTAGAACATTATGTGATTATAGTTTTAATGCTTTGTCTCTTTGAATTAAATTTGTAACCATAAAGATGTGAAGCATAATTGTTTTGCATTTATTTACAGACTACAATTTCTGTCACAGTTCAGTAAATAGTCTTTCCCCTGTTAGTGCTACCCTCTCTTCTGGGACTCCCAGTGTGCTTCCTTACACTTCAAGGCTTTATTCTTATCCAAGCTATCCTTTGTCACCAACAGTATCACTTGTTAATGGCAGCCATGTTGGACAGCGGCTATATATCTCCAATCAGGCCTCATTCTTCTGAAGAAAATATTGTAAACAGGAGTATGAAACTTTCCTTGTAAAGCATGCAAATTAAAATACTGTTTTACTTTAGAATCAGGTTTGTACATTTGGTTTTAAAATGATAATTATATATCTATTTCAACATAGTAAATATCAATCACAATTCAGAATAACCTACTGTTGTAAAACTTGTAAAAATGCTAAGTTTTAAAAGTTACTCAGTGATTTCTCTTGATAAAGGTATAACAAACTGCTGTTCTTTTTAAACTTTTGGGATTTTAAATAACTTCTGATTCCTGAGTGCTCAGTAGAACCCAGAAGTTTACATTAAATTTTCATTATAACTTTGCTAAATAGAGTTTCACAAGTATTAAAGCACTTGCAGACACTGGTTACACTAGATTTGATTACTAAGGATCACTATCTGTATTAGCAATTAGAACAATTATATAAACGGAAGCATCTAATTATTATGTAGGAAGCAATGAAGTGCAAAAAGATTAAGATGCAAATTTTATGCAGTACTAAAGAAAAAGCAATCTACCATTGTGGTCCTTGAAAATAACTATAAATATTTTAGTTAATAATTGTTTGTTGTAGAAATAATTATAATTTTGCTGTTAATGTATTTAAGGTTTTTATAAGTATGCTCCATTTGTGTTTTTGATATTCATTGTCTAGTTCTTTGAGTAATAAGTGTTATGGTTTTTAATGTTGAAATCACGTGTTGTTTAATTTTTGTACTTGAATTCAAATTCTTTGACGTTAAATATAGGATGCTTCTAAAAAAAACACAAAAAACCTTTGTTTTAAATAAAAGTTTGAGGCATCTCTCAGTACAGTGGGTTTTTAAAAAAATAAGAGCAGAGGGACGGGGGATAGCTTGCTTAGGGCTAAAAGCCCACGGAGCAAATGTAGAGTCTCCCCCTGCTGGCTGGTTTAGCCTTTGGGAAGCCCTGCACAGTTTCACAGGGGAGAATCAGCCAACTTCAGAAGATACTCTTCCTTTCCGAAACAATGGTCAGTGCCCCAGTAGACTGACCCTGTTTAAAACTCATTCCATCACTTTCTGCCCCTCGCTTTTACCAGCTCTTGCACAAATACTCAGGGTCTTAATTTGTTCGCCCGTGGAACATTTCCTGGCCCCTGACGCTGAGCCAGCACTTTGCCAGCAGTGGGAGCCTTCAGGCGAATGAATCATACTCCCCGCCCCGGGAGTCCAGCGTTAGCAGAGCTGCCCTCTTTCGGTAGCAAAGCCCTAGCCAGCCCGGGCTGGGCACACTCAGATTAAAGGGGCTCCCCTGCCAAGGGCCCAGGCCCAGGCCCGTGAGGGAGGCTTAGAATCTATCTAGGATTTTCAGGAAACGGGTGTATTTTTTCAGGAGTTAATTTAGCAGTTATCTCAGTGCTTCCGCTGGGCTGAGGCAGAACCAAGCTGCCCCCTACAGGTAGGAGGGAGAGGTACGCATCCTGAAGGCTGCAACCCTGGCTGGCTGTGCTCCACCTAGGTGACCTTCATCTCGGAGGGCTCCCCCAACTGGGCGATGCTCCCAGTGATGCTCAACACGTGATCCCCAGACTAGCGGCAGAGGCCACACTTGGGAACTCGTTAGAAATGTAAATTCTCAGGCCCCACCCCAGTCCTACTAAAAGGCAACTCCAGGAGTGGGACCAGCAGTCTGCTTTAGCAAGTCCTCCAGGGGATTTTCTGATGCACCTCAAGTTTGAGAACCACTGGTCCGGAGATAGCGGTGTGGCCACCTCTGGGGGCCCTACTTTATGGCTTGGCTTCATGAGACTCGGCACCTCCTGCCTCATATCAGCCTCAGAACCACAGCATTTCAGAGGTACCTACTGCAGACCCCTTCCCCTTAAAATGAGAACAATGAAGTGCAAGGGTGTGGTTTGCCCAAGGCAATCCTGTCTGGGAATTCTTCCCCAAACCTCCCAAATTACACGAGAGGAAAAGAAGGCCAGTAAATGTGACCCTCCCGGGGTTCCTCAGACCTACCTGCTCCGGGTTTGGGGGCTCTGCCCAGCCTCTCCTGCGGGTCTGGCTCTCCCATGCCTGTGCCTGGAGGACTCGGAGCTCTGGGCCCTTGGAACAGAGCCCCCTCCCCTTCCCTTTTCTTCCTTTGAGCCATGTTCCATTCAGTCTTCTTTTGCGGTACGCGGGCCTCTCACTGTTGTGGCCTCTCCCGTTGCGGAGCACAGGTTCCGGACATGCAGGCCCAGCAGCCATGGCTCACGTGCCCAGCCGCTCCACGGCATGTGGGATCTTCCCGGACCAGGGCACGAACCGCGTCCCGTGCATCGGCAGGCGGACTCTCAACCACTGTGCCACCAGGGAAGCCCAGCCTTCTCCTTTTTGATCACACTGGTCCTGCTTGCCACTCGGAGATGGAACAGGAAGGGCCCAGCTGTGAAAGGATCACCACAGGATTTGGTTTTGGTCAGTCTCCAGCATCTAAAGCTACTTGTCAATCAGAGAGAGATAGGAAGTCACTAGAAAGACAGGAAACATTCAAAGATGAAAACGTGTCCCCCTCAGCCTGGTCCTCGGGCACAGATGTCTCTGCAGATGAGCATCTGGGTCTTTTTGGGGGGCTGGAATGAAGGGGGTGCTCTGCCTGTCTCTCCTCACAATGTTCACAAGCCTTGGCTTTCTAGAAGGGAGATGAGGGGAGGGAAAAAGGAGAAAAGAATAGCATCTTTATTAATATGAGTATGTTTGTTAACATCATCAGAGGGCTTGGGTCCCCAAGGGGAGATTATACCTTGAAGACACAGCTTTCTCTCGAAGATTGGAAAAAACAATCAGCCCCCTTTCTAAATGCTGCACTCAGCCACAGAGTGTCCTGATACCTCTCCACTTGTTATGGCCTTTGCGACAGGTCCAACGCTCCTCTGTTTCAGAACATCACCACACACACTCTTCCACCCCTTACCCAGTGCGCAGGGTGGGTAGTGGAGGGGACTTTATAAAAAGGAAAAGCTGTCCTTCTCACCAAATGTGGAGGAGTCATTTTTGCAGGAGGCTTTAATTGAATGCTGCAGCTAAAATTATTGAGGAAACACTGGGGGAAATCCTCCAGTAATAGGAAGACAATCCTTTTTCACATTTGCCATGAGAGCTCCACTCCCTCCAGCCCTCTTGGGAGGTGGGCTTTGCGCAAGCCTGTTCCATTCAGAGGGGCTTCAGCAGGTATTTGTAGCATGGCTGGACTTGGGAACTGGAATTAAAGGAAGAAAAGAGATGATCTTGCAGTGGTGTGGGAAAGGGAGCTCAGGGTATAAAAGGCACGTTCATTACAAACACACTCACACTCAAAGCTAATTCTGTTTTGTCTTCTGGATACCCCACCTCCTCATTCCAAGGAAGTGGCCAATCCTTATATTTCTTAGCCTCAAGAGCACTTGCTAAGTGGAAAGGTGGTGTTCCCAGAAGATAAACTCTTTTCCTGGCCTAAATGAAAGTTTTAATCTCCTTGAGGATATTCTATTACTCTGGAAGTGGGCAGTGTTTAGGGAAGGGAATGGGGGGTGAGCAGAAGGAGGAGGGAGATTCATGGGTTCATTGAGGATTGGGACCCACACTGTACTCTCTTAATGCCCCAGGGATACAGCAGGGCCTCTGGGAGGAGTGATGCACCTCAGGAGGCTAGATGGGGGTCTGGGGGTACCCATTTCACACAAAGTGGTTAAAAGAAATCAGGTGGCCTGGGCTTAAACTCAAGCTCTACCACTGGCTGGCTATGCGCCATGGGATAGCTGCTTCCCTTTATGTGCCTCAGTTTCCTCATCCATGAAAATTAAAATCACATATTCCAAAGCATTTATTGAACTATATGCTAGGTACTGTTCTAGGGGCTTGAGAGATAGAAGTAAACAAATAAAGATCCTACCCTTTTAGAGCTTACATTCTACTGGGGGAGGCAGACAGAAAACACTAGTAGTATGTAAATCATATAGCCTAGAATGTGCTATGGGAACAAAAGTAGAGCAGGGAAAAGGGATGGCGAGTGTAGGGGATGAGGCACAGAGGCAGGTGGTCAGGATAGGCCTCACTGAGAACATAATATTTGGCAAAGACTTAAAGGAGATGAGGGAGAACTGTGAGTTATCTGGGAAAAGTATGTTCTAGGCCAAAGAGCAGTTGGCTCATATGAAATTATTTTTGTAAAGCACTACTGAGTCCCTGGCACTTTAGTAACATTCCATAAACATTGTTGTTGCTGTTATTGTTATTATCATTTTCATGCCCAAGTGTGGTCCAGCAGCTACCAGATACCGGGTTGCCATGTGGGCTAGGAAAAGAGCATATCCACAGTAGCCAACTTGCCCTGAACTGGGGGGACCCCTCCAAATGTTTTGCTCTGTATAAGAGCCCCAAGACTTTTGCCTGACTCTAGAATGAAGGGAGGTATCCCTAATAATGATGAAGACTGAATTTCTCTCCAGCCCTGCCAAATGGGGACTCAGAGGCAGACTCTATGATGATTTAAAGAAAATAATGTCGCTTTCTAACCTGAGTTGATAAAGTAAGCTTCCTACCCATCCCAGAGGAGCATGGAAGGAGGCAGTAAAAGGAAGAACAGTCTAGACACACAATAGGGCATGAAAGGTCTAAAAATGTCTGAATGCTGCAGATTAAGTAAATATGACTTTAGTGAGGCATGGGACAAGAAAGGGGAAAAGACAAATAAGAGCTGGGGTCAGGAAGAAGAAAAATGTGTCCACAAGGATCATGTTGGAGGACATATCTGGAGTTACTAGAAGGACAATGCATGTGACTCTACCAACAGGAGCAAGTCCTGAACATGTGACCAGAAAAACCAACCCCCCAAAGGAGGTGGGAGCAATAGACAGTCAGAGGGGCTGCTGGTAATGGGGGCCAAGAGTGGCATGTGGCTCCAGGGAACCAAGTTTGCCCACAGTCAAAAATGTTTGGGCTCCACAGATCAGTGACCTTAAATGTGTTAGAATTCTGAAATGTTAAAATCCTGGAAAGGGCTCTACTGCTTATCTAATCTGACCCCATCCTTTTTGTAAGTGAGGAAGCTGAGACTCAGAAACATGAAACAGCTCGCCCAAAGTCACATTAAATTTGTCAGGACTCTCATTCACAGTGACAGAAACCCAACTCAAACCAATTCAATAAGCAAAAGGGAATGTATTGGCTGGTGTAACTATGGGAACCACGACTCATCCCCACACCAGGACTGAGACAGAAATTTGGCTGTGAACAATTCTAGGATTTTGAGCAGAGACAAGATGAGAAATAGTATTCTGTGAAAATACAGTCAGGCATGGGACTCCCTGGAATTTATAAGACTTTTCCTGAAACTCCTTGTGTTTTATTTCCCAGAACAAAATAAATCAAACATCTACTTTGTGGGAGGTGGGAAACTGCTTGCAGCTCTAAATGGCACTTTTCTCCAAGGACTTCTCAGTAAGGGTCTAAAACAGAAGTTGTAAACTCATGACCCATGAACTAAATCAGATCTCCAGCTATGCATCATCTGACCCACATACTGGCTGTTTTTAAAAATTCATTTACTTAACAAATAAATGTTGAGCATTTTCTATGTCCCAGGTACTATTCTAGGCACTTGACATACAAAACTGAACAAAACAAGACAAAAAAATCCTTGCCTTCATATACTTTGATCATAATGGTAGAAATGTGCAGACCAATCAATAAGTTTTCTAAATTATCTATTTAGAAGGTAGTAAATAGTATGGAGAAGAAAAAAACAGGGAAGGAGGAGACAGTATAAGGTGGGAGGGAGAGTGTGCTGTGGTCTTAAAGAGGGTGGTTGGGAAAAGCCGAGAGGGTGACATTTGGGCAAAGGCATGGGAGAAGAAGAAACAAGCCTTGCAGGTGCCTAGAGGAAGAACATTCCAGGCAGTAGGGCCAGCAAGTGCAAAAACCTTGAAGCAGAAACATACCTAAGACATTTAGGAAACAGCAAAGATGTCTGTGTTTTGGTTTTTTAATCTGTATGAACTGCCAGCATTTAAAAAGTTGGGAGATTTTGGGGCTTCCCTGGTGGCGCAGTGGTTGAGAGTCCGCCTGCCAATGCAGGGGACGCGGGTTCGTGTCCCGGTCTGGGAAGATCCCACATGCCGTGGAGCGGCTGGGCCCGTGAGCCACGGCCACCCAGCCTGCGTGTCCGGAGCCTGTGCTCCGCAACGGGAGAGGCCACAACAGTGAGAGGCCCGCGTACCGCAAAAAAAAGAAAAAAAGTTGGGAGATTTCACATCAACATCCAGATTCCCAGCTTTTCTTGAGAAAATATTCAGTTAGGATCTGGCAATGCTGGCTCCAAAGTATCCCATAAGAGAATGAGCTAGATCTGAGCAGCAGCTCTTCCCCTGTAATGGGGCAAGCTTAGTCCCAGAGTCAGGGTAGTCCCCTCCCCACCCGAGTCCCTGCTCTCTGTTAGGCTCTCAGCTACTTCATTCATTTCAGTTGCCTCCTGGTCAGGCACCTGCAGGCATTTAAGCTCTTGTAGCTACATAGACCAGGCTACAGTCATAGGTAAACCCCAACAGCTCAGTGGCTTAATATAACAGAAGATTTATTTCTTGTTCACACAAAATCCAACAGGAGTAGAGTGATTCTTCCAGGCATCTATCCTTCGTGAAGTGACTCCAGGGGCCAACTTATTTCCATCCTGTGGCTCTGCCATTTCAACTTGTGGGAGCCTAAAGTGTTTTGACTTTTACAGCACATGCAACTGATGAGCCAGTGGGAGAGAAAGGCGAGAGGCATGAAGAGCATGGTGTTATGGAAACCGTGGTAAGAATCCGAAGAAAGAGAGAACATCTAAGTTGTCTTCCACTCCTGGATATAGTGTTGGATTTGGAGTAACTTGGGTTCTTTAGATTAGATAAAGCTCACTTGGAGTGAGCATTAGCAATATGCCTAAGTCCATAAAGTAAGGGGAAACCTTCCTGTGGGCTCTGGGATGTCTGTTCAAATCCCCAAAGCAAAAGCCACATGGCCATTCCTCTGCTCAAGCAGTGCTGAACCCAAGCCCACCAGGATGGACAGGACCTTCTGTCTGGCTCTGACAGTAGGGCCTGGGAGCCAACTCGGCCCCCTCTGACCCCACAAAAAGAACAAAGCCCAAGGGCCTGGTGTGTTCGACTCAGCTTTACCTCTTCAATGACTGCTTGCAAAACAGCCCTTCCCTTCCGGAATCTCATTTATGTGCCTCTCACTCTCAAATCTTCACTGTTCCCCTTTTCTAAGCATGGCTCATAGTCAGGAGTGTCAAGGACTGAGGTCATTGGATGTGCTGTCTATTGATGACTTACGATAGGCCAGTTTTAATAGAAATTGTGGTTCCAGATAAATTGACTAGAGCCTGGATTCTGATAGGGAAGCATAGTCATGCTATAGGTTTTTGCAGTCAAGACATCGGGGTATGTTTTCAATGAGCTAGAAGAGAACAGGATCTTGAAGATGCCAGAAATAGGGAGATAATGGTTGATGGAGGTGGAGATGGGGAGTTACTGGTAAAATCAAGAACTCCAGAAAAGGTTAGCTTTGGGAACAAAAATAAGATGTGGCTTCTCTGAGAATATGTAGAAAGAATGAAGGAAAAAAGCAAAGGATGGATGACAATGCAGATCAAATTGAGAGAGTGGAGAGGAGAGCTGAAGCCTTGACCCCCTCAGTAAACTAGGTGTGGAGGTCATCTATGGGGGTGGGGGAGGTCAGAAGTTCTTTGAGAAAAATGAAAAGGATTTGGAACACCTGCCTTGAAGAATTCAATATAAAGTTAAGAGGAATAAAAAGGCTACTCTGACAACAAAATGACTTATGAATCGGAAAAACAAACATGCCTGGATAATGCATTGGGTACAGATTGATTTCCTCCAGAAAAGTCTTTACAGGTCTCTGCTGACCGTAGTGCTGGTTCGAACATCTATCTGAATGTCTAAGTCTGATAGAAATCTTTGGCAGAATAACTAATGGCTGGGATAACTATTAGCCTGCACTTCTCAGTACTTAGAGAAATGAAATGCTCCACTCACAGTAAGCTGTTAAAATCCTAATTATCCCCTTGGAGACCAGCCATCCCCATTTCAGAAACTAGCTCCTTTACAAAGGAAAGAAATCTCTGTCTCTGTCTCTGTCTCTCTCTCTCTCTCTCTCTCACACACACACACACACACACACGCACACATACCCATTCATACACACCATGACTAAAATAAATGGATCTTCATTTCCTCATCTGGTTAGATACTCTAAGTCACTCCTTGACGTGCTGACATTCTGCTAACCCTATCATTGATTGTTCCAAACAAAGTAAGCTTTCTCCCAGCTCCAGTGACAGCAGTGGCTGTTTTTTGTGGGAAGATGCATTTATATCAACACCAGACAACTTTTACTCCTTCATCACACTGTGGCCCATTATGAACGAAAGGCCAGTTCCTTTCCTCCTGGGCTTTTGTGGAGAGACTGAGAAAATCATTTCCTGGGGAAATGAAAGCTGAAAGCTCTGGCAGGGAGGGAGACAGGTCTGCAGAGAGGCATTGGAAAAGGTTGGCAGGGGGAGAGACGTAAGAGACTGATGCCAGAAACAAGGTACTGAATGATGACAGCACCTTCTTCCAAGCCTTAAAGGGCTTCTCCGTGGGCTCAGGCTTTTCAGCAAATAGCAGCCTGTGTGAAACAGCAAAGAGAGTTGCCTTTACTTGGTCCTAAGAACAAAGACTGAGTAACATAGCCTGCGAAACCCCAGGTCAACCAGAAGCCTCATGGCAGGTTGCCCAAGGGGGAACCCAAGAACAGAGTGCAGGTTGGAGGAGGTTTGGGAAGCAGAGCCATGCTTTAACCAAAAGGTGAACAACAATAGAAGGAAGGGGAATGAAAGCCCTCCTATGTGGTCATTCCTGCACAGAAGATTGAATTAATTAAATTAAAGGCTCCAGTAATACTCTACAAAATTTAGAATTTGCAGCATTTTGTTATTTGGGAACTGGTGTTAGATTGCGGTTAGACATGTAGTTTAGTATATACAGATCATATGTGTTATAATTATTATGAATCCACCGATGGTAAAAAGAAAGAAAGAAAGAAAAAGAAAGGAAGGAAGGAAGAAAGGAAGACAAGAAAAGAAGGAACCAGCAGGGCTATAAGGAGGGAAGCTGCTATGGGGACATAGTGATGGACAGTTAAAGAGTACAAAGAATGTGGAATTAAATGAATAGAATGGGGCTACCCCTGGGAGATAAACAACTGAGTTGAAGCACAACCAGACAGGTCATATATTGTGTTCTTTCCCAAGGCTGGCTGTTCTTTAATTGTGCTGTTTATCTCTTAAGAACACTTCGGTATTTGCAAAGTCAACTTCTGACCTGAGAACTGAAGAACTGTAAGTCCACTTACAGCCCCCCGATTGCTGTAGACCCCTTGGTGCAGAAGTAAAGGCCCTCCATGGATTGGTCTTAGCCTACCTTTCCAAACTAAGGCATAGAAGAGCTAGTTGGTAAGGCATTAGGTTGGGAAAAGATAAGTTAACATGGGCCTCTCTAATACCATGTTGGTAACTGATAGAAATTACTGGTTGCCTAAAAATGAGTGAGAGGGTGGGTGGGTGAGCTTGCCCATGGGTCCAGGCATTGTCCCACCTCCTCTGCTGCCCTCTCCACTTCCTCCCTCCTTCACTCTCACCCCATTTCCAAGGCATCCAGTTGCACTCTGGAGGTGCTAACCATCACATCCAAAACTAGGCTTGCAGCTCTTCGACATCCTCCAGATTACTACTCCCTTTCCTTCCACTTTCTGCCCCACTCCCCAGACAAATCCACCAAGAAATTATGGCATTATTTGTCACAGCAAAACACAGCAGAGACACCTTCATGCTAATCATCATGGGAATTGGTTAAAAAAATTATAGCAGCATATTATGGAGTACCATACTGGCATAGAAAGGGGAAAGCACTGTGTAAATTGATGGGGGAAATGTCCATAATACATTGCTGAGTTTTTTCTTAGAAAGCAAATTTGCTTACATGAAATTTCTAAAAATCTTATATGCTCTGGTATAATGTTATAAGTCATAATTCTAGTTATTACTTTAAAATTTATATCTCAGAAATAACTAAATTTCCTTGTCAATTGCATTATTATGAACTTTCATCGAATCTTTAACCGTGGTCATTTTTAAGTCTTTTGTCATTTACAGACAGTTCTGGATGTACTCTGATGCTTTTGCAAAAATGTTCCTATAAAAGGGTTTCATCTTCAAGGAATTCATGGAAAAGACTCTGACAAGTACAGGTTTCTGGTATACTGCTGAACTGAGTGAATAAGCGTTTTCAGAACTCTAATGGAAAACTGATGAATTCATAAAAGTGCTAACAAAAGATCAAGATGAAAAAAAATTAATTACATGGGACTGAGTGAACTGATGATTATAATTTTTGTGACTTTCTGTTTGAATAATAATAATAAAAAATCCCACAAGGACTCAGAGGCAAAAAATATACAAATCAATTTTCACTGCAGAGTAAAGGAGCTGTTACAGTGGAGGATTCCTGGACTGAATGTCAATATTATGACACAGTATGAGTGTGTTTCGTGTCTGGTAATTGCAATCATTGTTGCTTTTGTTGTGGTCATCCATTTACAATGCTTGGTGTCAGTCTATTTATCTCTTGTAAAAATAAAATATAGTGCGTGTGTGTGAAAAAAATTATTAAAAAAAAGAAAGTCAAGGCTTTATTTAACATCTTAATTTTGAATATTTATTATTGGAATTTGCTACAGGTACTTTGATTAAATAAAACCAGTGTGGTTTGTTTAAATATAAAATTTACTCTTAATAGTAAATATTATTTAAATCATAAAAAAAAAAAGCAAATTTGCCCAAAAGTATGTCTGGAGTCAGATGATTCCATCTTTGTAAAATAAATAAAACAAAACAAAAAATGTATAGATAGATGTCTTGAGACCCCAAGGGTAAGCTTGAGGAACAGCAGATGGTCTGCTTGGCGAGAGCCCAAGACTCACCTTGCTGGGTTGGGTTACACACACTGAGTGGATCTAGAGGTGGAGGTGGTGGAGAACCAGAGTCAGTTTTCCCTCTGAGAGGTTAGGAGGAGGTGGGTTTGGGAGGAGGATGGGCAGGAGAAAAGAAAGGGCTAGAGAGACACCATGCCATAGGGAGAGGAACTACTTCAGGGATGTCCTGACAGTTACTCTGCAAGTCATCAGGCCTGTGGTGTGATTGCCACTTTCTAGAGTCAGTTTCTCAGCTCAGGTTTTTTTTCTTTTTTTTTCACACTATTGAAAAACAAAACTCCTCACTGGGTTTTAGGTTTATAAATTGTCAGAAGAACTTTCATTTACTCATTTTTAAACCACTCAGAAGGAAGACAACGGAGCTGGTGTTTGCTGCCTCAAACACCAGAAATCACACTGTATGGCGTTAAAAAGAAGAAAAACCTGGAGAACAGTGAGAAAGGAGGAGAAAAATGCTTTGAATTTAATGGAAGTTCATGTCTATATTTCCATGTGTTAATAATAGGCAATGTACAAACCATCATCATCTCCTACAATTGTTTTATTACCTTCCATGTCTCTCTAAGCCTTTATCACAAGCCTTCGTGTCCACACAGATGTAACAGGTTTACATTTTTAGAAAAACCATTTGACAACGATGGCAGTTTTATCCCTTTATAAGTAATGAGAAAATGTGTACCTTGATGGATATCAGTGCACAGACACATTTATTCGAATTTGAGACCTTCATCACTATCCCTGTAAGTCAGCTAACAAAGGTTTTTGGTTTAGTTCATTGGGTCTTCACTTCAGCTTCCTTATCAGCAAAGAGCAGGGCATTTAAATACAACATTGAATAAACAAAATATTTTAGATCGAAGTGATTTTTTTATAGATTCCATTTAATAAAAACTGATTCACGAAGGTTGGACCTTCAAGATGGCAGAGGAGTAAGACGTGGAGATCATCTTCCTCCCCATAAATACATCAAAAATACATCTACATGTGGAGCAGCTCCTACAGAACACCTACTGAACGCTGGCAGAAGACCTCAGACTTCCCAAAACGCAAGAAAATCCCCACATACCTGGGTAGGGCAAAAGAAAAAAGAAAGAACAGAGACAAAAGAATAGGGACGGGACCTGCACCAGTGGGAGGGAGCCGTGAAGGAGGAAAAGTTTCCACACACTAGAAGCCCCTTCACTGGTGGAGACTGCAGGTGGCGGAGGGGGGAAGCTTCGGAGGCTAGGATAGGTTTTTATATATTTGCATGGAAATAGGTACCCAACATGACTCCATAGGAAAAAAACAGATCATAAAATAGTATTTATAATATTATCTTACCTTTATTTTTTTAATGTTTGTGTTTATATAGGTCAAAAAACCTATAACTACCTATCTCGCCCCCACAGGTGTGTATATATTAGCAAGCTGCTAACACTGGTTATCGCTAAGGAGGGAGAATTGTGGAATTACAGTAGGAGACACTTTCCCTTTTTCTGTATTTCCATTATAATGTATTATCTGATGAAAAATATTTCTGGATGTTTTTTGCATTTTTATAATTTTTAAATTTTTAATTATGTACATAAAGGTACAAAAATTACAAATATATATTGTAGGGACAAGAAAATTTGACAGGCGCAATTTAAACACAAGCTTTTGCTATTTATAAGAACTGCATTGCCAAAAGAAAGGAGGAGAGGGCTACAAGCCAGTGGCTGGGAACCACCAACCCCAATTCCTTAGTGCATTGATTTTATAGGTTCTCTTTTATACCCAAGTACCACCCAAGATTCAACCTGTCCCCACACTACTCTAGGAACTGCTCTGTGAACCACAGGAAAGGCCTTATGACACCTGGAATATGGGTCCAAACAAAGCACCTGCTGTGAAAACATGGGCTATCCATCTCTGGCAAATGCCCAACCTGAAGGATAGAAGTGGGATAACAGAGACCCCTTCTCCACCCATTCTCAGAATTGGTGGACAGCATGGGACACATGACTCACCTATTAAAAAAACTTCAGACAGTCATTTGAGAGGAGAAACTGAGAGTATACATTTGAAAATGAAGGGAGTCACAGTATTTGTTCAAAGAACAAGAGTCAGTAGGACAATAAGGAACTCTGTTTTAACTTTTAGAACATGTAACATGAGGGTCTTTAATTATGGAAGCACTAATTCCTCATCACAGATGCCTACTCATTTTTGAGAATATGCAGATATTAACATTTTGCCTTAATTGCCACTGATATTTCTCTGTTTTGTAAAAATAAAACGTGGCTTCTCTGGAAATATGTAGAAAGAATGAAGGAAAAAAGCAAAGGATGGATGACAATGCAGATCAAATTGAGAGAGTGGACATACCAGTTAATGTTGTTAAGTGGTTAAATAATAAGCTAATAGCCAAAAGAAAAGAAATGGTCCCTTGTCTTAGTAGTTCTCAACTTTTGGTGCATTTTGCCATCACCTGTGGAACTTCGACTGACACAAACTGACACAGAATTTTGATTCGCTAGTTAAATTTTTGACCATGCAAATATTTTCACTCACCTTTAACCCTATGCTCTTCTCAAATGAGAACATGTTTGCTTTGCTAAATCATAAGGTTAGAAGCTCCATGATGTGTATCTATCAGCTCTTTGCTTCTAAAATGATTTTTCTTATACAACTCTTCCTCTCAAAAACTTAAGGTACTCTAGGGAATATCCCTAAATGGATTTTTTTAGACCTACACTTTCATCATTTTTATATCAAAAAGAATAAAAGTAATCATTGGAATAACAATGAAAATGTCTCTGGCACTTCATAAAAAGGGAATAGTTACTAGGTTGAAAAGGAATCCATTAAGATTATGGATATAAGTAATATCTAAAGAATTTATAGCGGTATTTTATAAAAGCAGTCCTTTAAAATTTGCTCTATTTTTATTATCAGTAGAACCTTATCAATGTTCTATTATGACAAGCATGTAAATGGTTAAAAAAAAAAGAGAGAAACTTTGAAATAATGCCTATTTATGTCCAGAGCTGTTTTAACATACTAAATTTCATACCATCAATTTCATTCATTCAATTACTCATCCATCCAATAGCTGTTAGATGAACACTACACAAGGCACTAGGGATACAGAGATGAAAAATACAGTTCTTTCCTTTAAAGTTGTGAGTTTAATGGGGTAGATAGTTTAAGAAATTGGAAATTATAATGCTTATGATAAGAACAATATCATGGGTATACACGAGGCACTGCAGGGGCTTAGAAGAGGAGCAAAACCTTTGAGTAGGGGGCCAAGTACAGAGAAGATATCAGTAAAGGTTAGTAGGAGGAGTAATTCTTGATCTTTGAATTTTATCTTAAGGGAAAAAGAGAAGCCAGCTGGTTTAAAAGGAGTATCATATGTAATAATAATACTACTAACTAACTAACTAAATAAATAACTAAATAAATAAATAAAAGGAGGACTTCCCTGGTGGTCCAGTTGTTAACACTCCACGCTTCCTCTGCAGGGGGCACAGGTTCGATCCCTGGTCAGGAAAGTTCCACATGCCGTGTGGTGCAGCCAAAAGAAAAAATAAAAAAGCTGTATCATTCAGAGTTATTAGTCACAAGCAACAGAAATTGACATTGGCTGATTAAGGAGAAAAGAAATGTATTAAGATGATAGTAGATAGCTCACGGAACTTCCTGAATGACTCAAGAACCAGGCTCAGAGTCCATGCAGCCAGAAACATCCCCCCAAATCATGCCAGAGATCTAGTCCAGTGAGGATGCAGCCGAAGCTGGTATTGCCAGTGCCACTGGCCCTGGACATTCAACAGCAACTAGCCCCTGCTGCCTCATAAGTTCAGTCTTGTTGCAACTGCTACCATCACCATCAGCAAAAGTTCTCCACGTTCTTGCTTCTGTGTGTCATGAGCTCCTAAATGAAAGTCTAGAGAGAGGCATCTGGTCAGCAAAGCCTTGGTCACATGCTATACCTAGCTGCAAAGGAAGCTAGGAAAGTCAACATCTTCCTGTTTTCTTTACCCACTGCTGCCTAACAAACCACCTCAAAACTTAGTGGCTTCAAACATCAACAACAATTATTACAATA